CGCGGTTAACGGAGCCCCGGTTGCATACATTTTATAATACATAATATCGTGTTTACGTAAAACACGTGATCGTCGATTCAAGCAGCTCGTTGCTCTCTCGTCACTCCAACTCGTTCTCTCATCTGCCCTTTCTCGTTCTCTTTTTCTTTTCCTCTACGTTCAGAAAATTCACCGCGGGATTCGTTTTCGAATTGCTAACGCGTTACATAACTCGTCGATCGTTTACATTTTCTATATCAATGAGTGTAATTTGAGTCTTGACAACGGATCAGAATTTCTGATTTACGGGTTTCAAATTTTTCACCGATGTAGATTGTATTACGTTCTTCTTTGGAGCGAATCGTAATTGTAATCTTGTAATACTATCTGCTACCTTCTGAATTTTTTGTTCACTTCACGAAATATTATTAACCACGTTGCCTTAAGAAAAAAAAAAGAAATTTTGACAGAAAATTGAGATATAGACTCATACACGTTAACGTTAGAACTACCGACTTCGATATGTATGTACATGTTGTACACAGGTAATTAGAATTAAAGCGATATAATGCAAATAAGTAAATACAGTTTGTGAGATGTAAATATACTACTTTTATCATTCACTACATCTGTTACGGTCACATCAATCGATTAAAAAGTTAATGAATATTAAAGCGATAAGTGATATCAGTGCGTGATTTCAAATTTGTTAAGGTTTCGGTGACTGTATTTCCAACAGCACCGGCATAAATATGTGCCACGATAAAATTTTAATAATATAAATGATATTGAATTCCATAAACGATTTTACGAATCCTTTATGATCGCGCGAACAATAAATTTCGTTACTTTGTAACTTTCGACGGTGCGTTTTATTTTATAATGTTTTTTCCGTTTACTGCTGCGTTTTCCAAACCTCTCGATATCGCTCTTTTTAATTTCGTAAAAATCCTATCTGATCTTGCGATATTGCTCAACGTTTTTAATGAAAAATTCCATTTGCGATATAAAATTGGAAATGAAAAGGAAAATACGGCCTAACTACTTCGATTTGAAACAAAAGCTATCGAATAACCTTCGCTTCTTTTTTCAGCTCAACATTCTTCGCACATTACGATTTTCGATGCAATGATATTTTTCATATCTTTAAACGCTTAATTTTTTTTTACATATAGATAAAATAAATATAAATAGAAATAAACGATGTTATTCAAGATTTTTGCCGTTTTGCTACTGTCGTTAAATATCTCCAGTTACGCAATACTTTAAGGCGGAACATTATGCTCCAAAAAGAAGAAGCAAGCAACTTCTAGATAAAAGTCATCCACAGATAAAATGGTTTGTTTCATCATTTAAAAGATTAGACAAATACAAATAACTTAAAATTGTGTGGACTAATCGAGTGGATATATATATCGTGCACCACTATCATAACAACTTCATTTCTTTCATTTCCTCGTTCGTAGAATGCGAAATCGCTAAATGTTTCCAATAAAAGTTGTATCACTCTCCGCATGAAATTTTTTTAATATCCTGCCACTTGTTGCGGATAGACTCGAAAAGAATCGTTTTCCGAATAACAATCTCGGAAAAACAATTTCAGCCAGCGAAGAAGGAACACGTTGTACACGATTTAACGCCTTGAAACATTTAGCTTGGAAGTTTATCGGCAACGCGCATTTCCATAGCGGGTGAAACGTTCGATCGCACGACAATAATTTTTAGCCCCGAGAAACGCCTCGAGAAAAGCGTCGGAATTGGGGGAAAAAAGCAACAACAAAAAGAGCAGGCAGAAAAAACAGAGAAAAGTAATAGCAGTCGCGGTCAACGGATTTACCGGGTTCCCAAAAAATAAGCGCACGAGGAGGCCTCTCTTTCCCTCGGGGAACGACAATTGAATCAATTTAGAGGGCGGTTTTGATAGGCCGTACGACATGTGAACGCGTTACACGGCAGGTGTTTTGAAATATTACGCCGGTGTTACGCCAATTATCGTCGACAGCTCGCAGAAAAAAAATGCGATCGGCTGTTACGACTCACGTCAGATCGCGATTTTTTTCGCGGTATAGGTCGTATTAGACGATATATTGACATAAGTATTAGATCGTAGTATAATAAACTTGTTACGTATTTGTTTATCTAAAAATATCAACGAGATTGTTATTTTTATATTGTAAAATCCGCTTAATCCACGATATACGTATTATTTCCTTTCACTGTTATTTGATAGTGGATTAAGTAATTTTTGTGATTTTATTATTCGAAAGTTTTCGTTCTTTGAAATAATTTCAGACAATAAAAAATTTAGCACTTTTAGCTTCCACTACTATGGTATAGTTTAATAGCATGAAAACTGAAAACGAGAAAAACGATACGTATGCGTGGTGAAGTACGTACTTGCATTTTCAAGTGTTCTTGTTGACTTAACTGCAACTGTCTATTCGAGTGAGAATGCGTAAATGTTTGGAAGCTGATGAAGAGCATTTTGAACATCTATTACAATATTTTGACGATGTTGAACATGTAGTAAGTAGCAATGGTAACAGATACCCTTTTTTTTACATGCATTTCGTCAGCAAGGAATGGATTAAAATCATTAAAATCAGTTGAGAGTGGAGTAATAATATTTGTCGTTGAATTCGACTTGTCGAGTTTGTCGAATCGTAATATTTGTTTTTCTATGCCCTACATGATTATGCCCTAAAAGATGAAAATGATAATGAGAAGTTTCCCTATCTAGAAATATTTCGTTTGTCACAAAGAAATGGCTTTTTTTAATCATAAAACTTCTAAGAAACTAGTTCCGTGATAATTACAAAATTAATTTTAGATCATAAAAATTCCATAACATTTTAGTCTTTCGCATAGTACTTCATCCTCTCTAAATAATTTAATGAGAACGAGATAACTTGTATTTATTTTCAATTTTAATGATAACGAGTTTTCTGTTCTTTTTTTAACTACTTAAATTTATTTACTTCTATTTATAGTTCCTTCACTGCGCTTGAAAATCATTGTGCATAAGATTTCATCAAAAGGATATGACAAATAAAACTTTATCTTTGAGAATGATACAGATTGCCTTTAAAAGAAATATGATTAAATAATGTGTTTACAGTGGTATAAAATAATTATCTTATAGTTAAACAATAATTACTCGCAACTCGTAATTAAAATATACAATGTAATATTAATTAATAAATACAAATGAATGCAACTGTTTATCCTGCTTATTTTGTCGAAAGCGATGATTTTGAAAGTTCATCTATCGATATATACACGTGGCTATATGTATTTCCTGTTTATTCAAAATTTTCATGTAATAATAAACATACTTACTATCTCACATTGATTCCATATTCATTTTTATACGTTATTTACAAAATGTAAAAATATTATTTACATATTATAAATTAAAAAACTATAATGGATAATAAACTTCGACGATTTTAACATTTCAAAATGATATACATTTTGAATCAATAAAGTAATTCATTTTTATAAAATGTACAGAACTTTTCATAAGGATTGCTTGTTTATGCAATTTACTAAATTAAGAAGAAAATTAGTAATTATTAAATTCTTTATCAAAGCGGTTATTATTTGATCGTATGAAACTTTATTATTTTCGATTCATAGAATCTGCAGTTTATCGATGATTCAGAAGTCAATGCGACGAGAAATTTTTATAAAAAGGGGAAAAAGAAAATAAACGGAATCTTTTTCGAGGCATTGTCAAAATAAAAAAAGGAAGATCTGGAAATGTGAGTACAAAAATTTGTCGAGCACATAGAACTCTTACATAAAGTTTCAATATTGTCCTGGTTAACAACAAACAGAATAATGAATACACAACGTCGTGCAAAATTCAATCATACAAATTAACTGCTTGCATCAATTTCGTTTACCTTGTAACCCAGTCGAATCGCTCGATTCGATCGAACAACTGGTGAAAACGCCAAGTGTTTGTTATACTTTCAAATTATGCTATTTCCTGAAAATGTTGGTGACCAGCGATCGACGTATTAATGACGTTCTGGAAACACGACATAAAAGTTTCATTTTGGGAATAACGATCGTATCGCAATTCTGGAAGTTAGTAACAACTCGACGATTAATTTAAAACAATAACGATTACTATACTTTGATTATTCTATGTACTTTTAAGTTATCTAAATGACATGAATTCTTCTTTCACGTAAAAGGAAACGTACGAGTATCATACATACGTACATGTAACTTTAAAAATGGAACACTTTGATAAAGATACCTTGGAAGTTTGAGATTCGATTTTTCAATAAATTTATTGAATGTGAATAATCGGAAAATGTTTCATTAATAGAAAACTCGTTTGTGTTACATTCGTGTTTTTGTAACTCTTCTATTTCTATACACGTGAATAAAATTTCTGTCAAGATATATCTTTTACGAAGAAAAATAATATTTTAATATTGTAGGTATATTGTGATTACAATAACTTTGCAAAAAAATGTAAATTTCTATTTCTTATTATAATTTATTATACTATCTCGTTATCTATTATTGCAATGTGATAATATCCATTGTTACTAATGTCAATTGAACTTTAATTATAGATTTACAAGCATATCTAATTATAAGTTTATTAATTTGGAAATAAACACTTACAAGATAAAAATTATGAACAGAGATTACAATCGAATTTCTTGGAAGAAAATGATAAATTGGCAGCAAAACAACGATCTTTAGAAAAATAATTATTTTATCAAGATAAGAAACGACAGGGGGTTTGTTCTTCTCTCTCGTGGATTTCTGCGAAACAGGAAGGCTTGCGCAATATGTTTGTCCAATACGGTGTTTACCTTGCAGTCGGTGAATCTCGATAAAATGCAGTGGTATCCGTGACGATCACAAATAGAGTTTGATGATTCGTCAAGGTGTCCCGTCCAAATAGAAAAAATATTATCTACAGATTTGTCGGATCATATAAATATCAAAGTTATAACAAATATGCTCAGACGTTACAAGCTACATGAAAGAGACTGAAAGCTGAATTTAAGAAAGGTAAGTTTTAAGTTTGTATATCAGATATACTTAATTTGTTTCAAACAAACAAATACAACCTTATAATTACGCTTCATTGTATGATATTTTGCAGTTTCTATATTTGTGGAATCATATCGAGTGATTAAAATGAGAGTACTGTTCGTAATTCTCTTCATTTGCTTACTGGCCATTTCAGCCATTACGGGTTGCAGACCAGCAGGTGCACTAGTAAGTAAATTTGCTAACGATGAAAATTAAACTTAAGAGTACCAATTTTGTTATTATATTAAACTAAGTAAAACTGTTTCAGTTGTTTGAATCCGCCAATTAGGGCTAGGCTTAATTTGAATCTGTTATTTCATTCGAATTGAAATATCTTTTCAAATTTCAGTTAGAATTGAGATTCTCTTAATTATTCTTTGTAACGAACAACACTTGTTAGATAGCATAATGTTTTTTACAATTTAGTGTATCGCTGATACTGGATCATTTAATTTTCATTAATCAGCTCTTATTAGTCAAGTTACTTCCAATTGCTTGAATTCAAGTAGTTTGGAATTACACTACCCTTTTCCTTCTATTTATTTATTTCAATATCGATTACAGTGATTATTCGTGCAAATAGTAATATACATGTACTTGTTACTTTACCTGACTTGAGATATTATTTTTACTTTATAGAACTATTGAAAAAATGTGTTTCTATTATTAATAATTAATAGGGAAAAAATTTTCTAGCAAATTAAGAAAAAATTGAATCCCGAAAGGGTAAAATTTAAGTAATTTTAATTCATACAACTTGATTCGTACAAATAAAAGCTTAAATTCAAGTTTCTCGAATTCAAATAATTTGACTAATCTGAATAACGATTGATTCTATGCGAATAATTTTCCAATCCAATAGCTATACGTAATGTAGCCAGATATTTCTTTTAGAGACCAACGAAACTTATGCATCGTCTGGGAACTTTTCCAAATTTTTGTCACGCGTCAATTGGCTCGTTCGTATGGCTAATCATCGGGTATAATTTGTCGTAGTGCTCTGATGACAAAGATTGCTGTCAACCGTTGATATGCAACCCATGGGCTCGCCGATGCACCAAGAAAATGGGTCCGCCTTCACCACTAGAATTGAAAAATTAGCTACAAGATCAAGCCGCGCACGTGTTCTGGCCCGGCAATGAATCATCTTTCGATTGATATCAATGTTATTTCGTTTGTCTACGAATCTAGTTAGATACTCGTCATATTTAGAATCTTAAAGTTGAATTTATTTTCCTCTATATTAATATATGTATAATAAATATAAGATACATTTGTGCTAAATTTATTGTTCCTTAATTTTCCTTATCTAAGGTCCTATATCTTTTTCTATTTATTAAACAGATAAATTTATGTACGGTATAATTTGTAAATAAATTACGGAACTGCTCTGACTAAATTAATATTATTAATAAAATTTGATGATAAATGTATACAGTGGTTACAAAAAGTATTTACACACCATTGTATTTATAGTACTATTTACTACATACTAATTAATAATGAATTGAAATATACGTAATACAAAAAATAACATACGCAAATGATAAAACGAAAGAATCTATTATATCTACACTGTATGTATTAAGATTCGCAAGAAATTATTGAACTTCTTATAACAATACGACAATAACATTCCACGATAACATGAATGACTCAACCTCGATCGACTATGTCGACCGTATAAATACACGAAACTACCTATTACACGACAGTTTGAAGCGTACTTCGACGCTGGAAGCACCCAGATAGAAGTTAGTATATTTCTTTATACTGTAAAATTATTTGTGATCTGAAACATCAAATTATTATTATTTCACTGCAATTATCTACTTTGAATAAAAATCTCAAAATATGGAAATATTTTCTAATTTGCTGTTTCCGTTCACACATACTGTAAATTTCACTGTAATTAAATTTTAAAAGAATACATAACTTGAATTAATATCTACAACAAATATAATAGAATAAATATTTTATAACTTTTCTTTCAAACATATTTCGTTCATGTTAAGTTCAACTTTTACGTTGAATTTCACCTGAATTCTACACAAATCATTCTTTAATTTTATATAGCACCTTAGTATCAAATTGTATTAAATACACGCACATATATATTATATCCATATTAAAACTATAGTGGAAAATATATAAAGTGGAAAATATATAAAGTTATATTCCAGCCTTAATATATAAAATTATACTCGTTTTCTAGAAAGCTCCTCAATTAGTATTATTCATATAAATATGTGCCATAACTAGCATTCATACTGTCAATGTTAATCGCATTTTTAGTCCAAAATATTGATAAATTGTATTTTTAACGAAACAGAAAATTCCAGGACCCGATAATCTGAAAGAAAATGATTTAAACAAATGTTTCATACTGGAAGGAATTAAAAATTTACATTATATCTATTTTGTCGCTTTGAATCGTATCGAATCTCTGTTCTGTGAAACATAATTATTAAATTTTTGAGGAATAATCGCAGAACCTGCTCAACCATACGTAATAGAAGTAATGTTTCAATTTCACTGCACATTTTGTATAGCGCAAGTATAACAGCAAAAACGAATGTAATGGTGAATTTTTATGAGCTATGCGCAATCGGACGGAATTCAACGTGAAATATGAGAAAAGTTTGCAGTTATGTTCACAACGCTTCTGTTATGTTTTTCCTATTAGATCTCTGTATAGAAATATATATAATTAGCACGAAACGTTTATAAATAAGGAGAATAATCATGAATAATAGACAATTTGTTTATTAAGCCTAATTAAAATATTTATTCAATTTCTTCTACGTATCATATTTTCCTAATTTCTATGCTTACAGTAATCTTTAATTATATCAAGTTCTTTTCAATAATTATTGCAGCTTCGATAGCTATTGAAATGCGATTTCTGCTGCCCATGTTGTTTATGGCAGTTTGTACTGCGGTGCTATCGACTCAATCGGAAGAAACCGGCACTTGCAGCCCTTGGAATGGAATGGTACGTGCAACAGGCATAAAACTTATAAAGTACAAAAAGAAGTACTTTTCTTTATAGAATATATTAATTTCAAGGTATTTCATTTATACCTATAAATTATTTTCCTTTGTATTCCCTAAATTGTCCTAGAAATTATAGACATTTCTGTTGTTTAAATCAGAGGAATCACGTAATTTTATATCAGATTCAATACTAATAAAAAGAAAGTTACTTATGTGTTGAAAAACTGAAAAAATTTGTAAAATGAAATATACATAATATCGGATATCGATATTGAAGATTATATTTTCTTTTTTTATACGGTACAATATTTTTGCTTGTAGTATCTTGAAAAGTGTATGTGCATAACGTTATTCTTTACATATCACAGTGACACATTTTATTTTTGTGACATTTAGATCGTCGCTGACGCTTACTTAAAGACAACTTATAGTATTACAACCTAACATCACTTACATGACATATAAGAGTATAACAAATGTAAAATACCTTGAACTTTATTCTACAAACTATTAAAAAAGAGTCATATACGACTTTTCCTTTGCAGCTAGTAATTTTTAAGTATACCTAATGCAGTGTGTACGGTTTATCGTTTAATCTTAAACGATTCTGTAGATACAACTTCGCCACAGTGTCGCTAATATGAAATAACAAAATACATAATAATATATCTCTCGTGCATATTGATGATACACTTCTACAATGATATCTTCCACTTGTTCGAAGATAATAGTCAAGATCTTTTATTATCTAAGATTTTAACCCATATTTATTTTGTTTACAGGTTAATAAAGCATTTACGTTGTATGTAATTTTGTGATAACACACTAAGCGTTATTTTACGACAATGTTTAAATAATTTCGTAGAAAATATGACAATAACCTAAAGACAAGGTTGATGCCTTACTAAGTTTCATACTAAGAAAAATAGTTTTTCTTTGTCATCTTCTTTTTTCATTTTTGGTATTAGTAGACTTCTTTTAATAATTATGTATACAGTAATATTTAACACGAGCAAAAAACGTGCAACTATCCAATTGGCGATGTTAAAATTCTGTTATGAGTATGAAATATGCACATATACAAGTAAATGTTATATTCATATATATATGAAAAATTATATAACTTTTATCGAAAATTTGTACTATGAAACTTCGCAATTCGAGTTTGTATAAAGCTTGAATTTCAATATATTTATTATACAATGAATATCGATATATTAAACATATAAAATATCAAGTACAGTTTAGTTATCGTAACTCTAAGTCTTAACATAATTTTTAGCATTGAATATTCTATTATTTTGTATTTCTGATTTTAGTGTACAGTGTCTGAAGATTGTTGTCGCCATCTTGTTTGCCTTACATATGCAGCTAAATGTGTGCCAAATTTAGTGTATATTCCAGGACAAGACAAAAGACCTATTGGAAATGGACCATTTCCTCCTGGTTATCCAAGCGATTGAGTACTATGTAAAATTATTTACGTTTTCGCTTTTCCCCTTAAACTCTTTATTTATCCATAACAAAAAAGATACTTTAACATGTTTCATTTTTGTTTAATAAATTTTGATGCCTTTTAACAAATCGTATAAATATGTATCCTCGTTCGAATTGAACATTCCTTATTGTATAAAAAGAAAACAAGCAATAAAATACTTAAAAATATCAATACATATTTCCTCGTCTTCGTTGTTACTATAATAGCTGAATCATATGGAACCGTGAATCAACGGCTAAAAAGAAATAAGTGACTGATAAAAATATCTGCTGATAGCAACGCAAAAGTAATATTAAGATAAGAAATACTTCTCACAGAAATTTTTTTTTGTAAAACGTTTCAATTTTCACTTGTCCTATGCGAAGGTTCATTGTGATATCAGTTTCATCATATCACGAGTCTTATTTCTGACTGTTAGCATACGTTGTTATTTAAATAAACGAAAAATTATCACTGCTCGTTTATATTACATATAACATAGCAACATAATTTGAAACTTCATCCGTTCCTGCGGATATTGCGTAGAAAATGTCAAAGTTTTCAAATGACCTAATCTTTTGACAGTTTAGTGGTAGTATCATCGTAACGATAAGTAAACGAAATTGTATAACAAACAAACAACGAGATGCGTTAAAAAATTTTTAATTTTGAAATTGCAAAGTTGTGACGTTGTATGGTGATGTTTTTCAAAAGCAGATTTACCAAGGAGGGAAAGAAAGCTACGGTTGCGGCGCGCCGGCTCGTTGTACGTGAAATTCAGTGACGTTAAAAGAAACAAAAAAAAAAAAAAAAAAAAAAAAGCGAAAGAAAGGAAAAGAGAAATAATCGACGTTTTCACTTGGCTACCGTCTACGGATAAAAGGACAATATTACCGGATGATTCGGTTTTCTTTCCTGTTGTTTCCTATTAAGCGAATTAAAGAACAAGAGGGCTTTGTCGGGAGATCAATGGAATGTATAAAGCCTGCAATATGCAGTCGATGGAATATCGGCGCAGAAAGCAAAAAGTGCTCGACCATTTCATAGCGACGAATGGAAAAAGAATGTTCGCAGTGACTGCCTCTTTTCAATTGTTATACAGTTTAGAGTATAATCGGAGTGAATTATAATTGTAGGAAAAATAGTACGGCAGGTTTTGACTTCCTCGAATTTGCCGAGATACAAACTAAATAACAGGTCCAGAACAATCTTCAGTTACTATAAGTTAATAGGTGACCTTTTCCTTCTTTATTTTCTATTTTCTTTTCCTTTTCTTTTTTTCTTTTTTGTTAACGCAGAAAGGAAAAGAAGGATTTGTACATACGACAGAACGATTGAACTCGAAGATAGAGATCGAAAGTAATGTTTCATTGTTTACGCTCATGCAGTATATTGTGAAATTGAAAAATGAAATCTGTTAGCAACAAAGACAACGGATTTCCCTATTTTATCTTCCTTGTTATTTTTATTCGCGCTTAGCCAGCAATTTATATTCTCCAAACGTTATCTGTTCAATTAATTCTTTTTCTCTTCCCTTTCTTCTTTCTTTTTTTTTGGAGAGGAATAATTGTAAAGCATTACTTTATGCGCTCTTAATACTTTACTGATGTAAGGTCCTATGAATGTTTTACAGATAACCAGAAAAAAAGAGATAAAAATATACTTGTTGCACGTATACACGTTGTGTACATTCAACTTTCAAGGACGAACTGTATCACGTATTTTCCATTTCCGACAGACTTCTTAGTTTTCCCATCGTATCTGTTTTGGAAAGTATGACGAAATATGTTGAAAGACAGTTATATACATGTTATAGTTATATACATGCAATCTACATAACAATTATAACTAAAAGATAAAAATTTGCTCATTATTAATTATAATTTTGTATTATACTTATCTTCTATTATCTTCTAAATACGTAATTGTAGTTAGTCACTTAAAACATATAAATTAACACGGATTAAAACATGTAAATATTAATATAATTGAATACTTATAATTTTAATTTAACCAATTTAAATTTAATATCTATAATTAAATTAATTAATAATGATGTAGCAAACCTACTCGATTAATCTCTCAGTAATAAGTTTTAACACAATTTTCCAACCATGTTGTTTTAATATAATATATATAACAGTTCTAAATGACATAATTGCATTTCACGAAATCCTACAATAAAAATTCCAAATTTCCTCCAACAAATAGGTCAGAGAGAGGAAAGAAAGTAAGACGTGGAAAATTCATTCAGTAGCTAAGCTAATCGAAAGAACTCATCAGTGTAATAAAAAGCGAAACAACTGCACAAACATTTCTTAAAACTGAATCACGTGTACTTGCAAGAAATATAACATTTCTCGCTATTACCCAGCACTCTTCCAGCTACGCACACGTGCCGCATACTGTATGTGTAATACACGACTTAAACAGAGGTTAGAGTGACGTGATGTTGCGGTATAAAAGCGTAGTATATTTCAAGTTGAGAAATCAGTTAAGGTCGAACTCTTGAGACGTTAGCTGTGAAGAAAGAGCCGTGAAATCGCTCCTACAGATCAAGTCACTTCTGGTGAGTAGAATTGCGCAGTTTCTTCGTGAAGCACAAATTACTTCTGAATAGCTGGCAACAACTTGTTTTTAAGCTGATCATCGTGAAAAAGTGTTGGAAAATAATATAATTACAGTTACAGATTTCACGTATAAACCGTTTTTCAGTGATTGGTTCTAAATAATTTTAGATGGTGAAACATTTGAATATATGATTTGGAGTGAATAAATATCAAGAGAATATAGAAAATCGTATGAAGTGTACGAAGTGTAAATATGAGTGTATCGTAAACGTCAAACTTTCTCAAATTTCTCGAGCTCTTCAAAGAGACGAAAACGTTCGACAGCATGTTTTCCAAGTGACTTCTTCTCGATGCGTTAACTTGGTCGTGCATTGAACTTTGAACGCCTGTTGTCACGTATTGTTGTTATTTTAGTACGTTATTCATCTCGTCATTGTACACGCAACTATCGAGATAGTTATCTTTTTCCAAATCAAACGCTATGATTATAAACGTATTATTAACGATCTGGAAAAATAAAAATAAAATTGGCAAATTAGGAAAGAAGACAATTTTAAACTGACTATATTGCTGCTATCGATTAAATTAAAAATATTACTCTTTTAACGAAAAAAGATTCCAGACACGTCGATAACAGAATTGTGTATTCGCATAATTTACATAAAAAGTGACGTAATAAAAAAACTCGAACAGATAAAGATAATAAATTCGTAACTCGTCAGTAAGTTATTTTGCAGAGGAAGGCCAAAACAATGTGTTTATTATTTCATGTCCATTATAAAGCACGAAAGAATTCTGTCACACTAAATACGCGACAACCACTTGGCGAAGTAGATTGATGCCGTACACGGTTGGCCGTGGCCATATACTTTAGTCACTCTGATCGCTATTCAAGAACGAGTCAGGTCAGTAGTTAATGACTCATTCACGGACACCTGTGTACATCCTTCCTGCGCAGAACTCATACATATGCCCGGTCGCTTGCGTAATGAGCTAGAATGTTATGAATCTGAGTCCGACCTTCGCAGGAGAGCGTCTTTCACAGATCTATTCAGACGAGATATAATTGAGTTAAGAAGTATCTTTCTCTTGATATATTCCGGTTCGTTTTGAATTTCTTCTAAAGATAAATGCCCCGAATTTAACAAAAAAAGCAAGTGTTCGTTAAAAAATGTTCGTTACAAACGAAAATAAAAAGCAAAATGATAGTTCGATGGGAAACAATAAAATTCCTAGTGCTATACGAGATTAAAAAATTGAACAACAAGAAATGAATTGCATTGCAAGATGGAAAGAGAAAGTGATACAATTTTTTCTCATTTACAGCGTGAAAATACATCGCAAAATGTCCAAGTTTATGCTATTCGTTTGCGTCGTTTTGCTGGCTACAACCGTCATTACGGCCGTCCCCAGCTCCTGCGGTAGACACGGTGACCCCGTAAGTTAAAAAGTTATTTTGTTATTTCTCTGAATGTCCACCAACAAAATGATGTAACGTTGGTTCGTTGTCAACACGTTCAGTACCGTGAGAAAAATTTCGAAATTTAAAACGATATTAGAAATTTATATTCGAATATTTAATTGTCCTGATTCTCGACATACTCTGCCTTCCATTTTCCTTCAACAGTAGATAAAACAATATCTTTGTGTTTCATTGAATGAAACTATCACTTTGTAAACGTGTTGATCATCAGAAACGTTCGACGTCAGCTTGACACACAGGTCATAAAGAGGACCAGACGTAAAAATAATAACAGGGTTACGCGAAGCAGTTCCGCTAATTAGAGTCTCGTGGACGATGAGAGCCTAAAATAGAATTTTAAAGCAGCCGTAATAATATGCAGCCAGAGCTGCACAATGTCATTTATACCAGCTGATAAATTCGCTAACGCGAATTTATTTCTTCATTTCAGTGCGTTTCCAACAGAGACTGTTGCACTAACACAAAGTGTCACATATACGCTAACAGATGTCAAGTACAGATCACGGAAGAAGACCTGATGGCTGCACGTGAAAAGATCCTTGGCCGGAAAGGGAAGGATTATTAAGTAATTAGCCATTTCAACGTTGAGCATATATCAATCAAAGTCTCCCATTGAATCAAATCAACGTTCAAAACCGATTAATACCTATGCCTCGAAGTTAATGTTTACCTAGAAACAAACAACAGCGCATGATTCATGCAACAGATGTAAATATGTGAAACAAATAAATGAAATAAATCGTACATACAAGCAAGTCTAAAATTACATTCACGTATTTTTTAACGACTATCGTAATTATATTGTTGAGATTTGTTTACAGTTATCTATTGCAAACGTATACTTAATACAAAATTAGCGTACATCATGAACAATGATTTTATACTTAGAATCAGTGCTAAAGATTGTCTTATTAAATAATATAGCTTATTAGTATAATCAACAATTGACTGTTCAAATAATAATGTATGCAAAATGTATGTTTGCAATGACTATCTTGTAATTTCTATATACATTTTCAGATTGGTTTCAAATGTGATTAATATAATCATGACAGTCGTGTTTCATTACAATATTAATAAAATTTCGAAATAATTTTATATGGCAAATGTAATATATTAAAAGTTTTTTATGTTAAGTGTCCAACTATTTCCAGGAGCCACTGTATTTGAATTAATCTCCGAATTGACTTTACTTTTGTCAAGGTTCGCCTTAGAAAAATTAGCATTTATCTTTTAATTTCGATGTCCACATTCGATCGAATGTGTGACGATAGAGCGTTACGTGTAAAAACGAACGAGCTGTGGAACATAGCGTAGATGGAATTTCCATTCGACGAAGAGGTCACGATTATTAGGCTGACGATTATTATTATCAGCTAATACGAGATTATTGTGCTTCGTTTCTGACGCAGGAAAGTTGCACGCAAGATAATATCCGCGTAACTTGTGGCAGCGGCAGAAATGCGATTGTTATGAAATAAAATTCCGCTAATTTTATACGAAACCGTTCGAACAGCGTGTGGTTACTAGGAAGATAAACATTTTAGAAAATTATATGCGATCAAGCATGTAATTGCACGGTGCCCGCTGGAAAATTAAGCGGCACGGCGTTCGATTGCGCTACATGCTGTATCGCTTTATCGCGCGTATCGCATCGCGTTTCGAACTTACTATCGCCTTTAAATTCGCTATCTTCGACGACATTACCATTGTTCGTTCGAAACGTATAGTAAGCTAGGATTATTTGAGTCACCTAAGCTTCAATATCTTAAAACTTTATTTTCAGCTTTATACAGAGTAATCGAACTTGTTGTATATTATGAGACACCGTTAGTTTTAGGATAACGACGACAAGATGAGAAAATATCGTGCAAGTACTTTAAACTCGGCAAAAAGTATTTCTTGAAAAATAATTAGAGTTATTCGAGTCAGTAACGAAGTATCGTACGAGGAATAATAAAATAAAGAATAAAATTTCTCCTAAAAATAACTTCTTGCTTTTTGGATGAATAGGCGTTGAGTAGAAAATGATAGTAATCGAGCTGTCAATGTACACCATATATTTCATCGTTTAGCAAGTTGTTTTCGAATACAGATCGTTAAAAAAATTCTTCTAACAGGATTTAACAAATTACAAGGTAGATTAAATTGCTTAACTTGACCCAAATATCCTATTGATTTAAATAATCCTATCTTAGCCGAGAATATGCCTTGTCCTGCTGATAAAGGCACTTTGCCTCTGATCGGAAATGTGAATAGATTGAAAAAAAAGAATCTAGCAAATAAAACTGACGCGAAAGGAACAGGTGCGCGTTACAGGAAAAGGGTGTAGTTTAATCGCTTCGACTTATCATTCGATAAAACGACAACTGAATCAGCCATATGTGACTTAATCGAAATCGCTCATGCACAAGGTCTGTCTGTGTCTCGAGATTTCTACTGGATAGGTTAATAAATTATCCTCTGGCTTTTTCCTTGTTGAACAAATGGTTCGTCTAGAAACACTAATGTTTACCAAGAATCGACTGCTTCTTCAACATTCACGATTGCTGGCACATCGATTTGCTTCTTTTTACTCCTAATTTACATGCGCTTTTGTAGAATAAAGAATTTGATGCAGTCCGAATGTCTAATACGTATTAGTTTCGTGATCAAACTTATAGTTTCTGACAGAAAAGAATATTTTCACGCTGAATTTCGAATATTGTTTTAGTTTCTATCGTTAGACTATAACTGATTAATCCAGTCTACTCTGAAACAATAAATACATACTTATTTTATGCATTAGTTTACATACTTTGAGATATTCCTCAGTTACACTTTATTCACATATTAATTTATATATTTAAAAATATTTAATGAAAATTTTCTATGTGCAGTATATATGTATTTAGATTTAATAGAATAACGGAAATACATAAATCTAACAGGTAATCTCGCAAAATGATATTCCGCATATTTCTAAAATTACCATCTGTACTCGTGACTTACGAAAATCAAAGCTGAAAAGAGAATTTCAAACTCTGCTGTTTTACAGATGTCGTGAAACTTCGCGATCGCGTTGGAGATTTTAATTTCAGCAGAAGTTGTTTAAAAATTGAAATCGGCCGAAAGGTAAGCTCGTTACTTGGGGAAAAATTCTCGATCGTTGGTCGACCATGCTTTATCGACCATTAAAAGGCATCCTAATTTCCAAAAGTAGGCGTACTTTGAATCAAAGACCGAAAGCTTCTTCCGTTCGTTAGACGACATTTACGTCGTGCTTCAATCTCATTAGTTTCAGCTTAAAGTTAAGCGCCTCAACTCTTTTAGGCCGAGCTGTTTCCGTTCTTTGACCATCACGGAGTTTACAAAGTTCTTTTCGACGGAAGTTACGCCTGATAGCCATAGAGAAAAAAAGAAGAGCGCGCACGAGGAACACTGTACCCATAATTTAAACTTCTACATTTCTTCATATTCGAATATCGACGAATCTTTACTACTTTCGCTCTTTTACAATCATCTATGTTAATCAAACTGGAATGTTATCGAAAATAATGAATCAAATTCAGGTTTTAATTAGACTTTTCATATTCAAATCAGACTTTCATTAAAATTTTCTTTTTAATTTACCTCAAATTTTATCACTGAATTTTACTACTCCAAGCAAGTACCATGAGGTAATTGTTCATTCATCATTTTTCTATAACTCCTACAAATAATAATTTTTGTCAGCTTTTATCGTATATTTTAAGTCGTTATTTTACACGGTACCAAAATTTTGATCGATTATGTCCCATATGAAATTAGTAGACGTCCATATTTATGTATATAAACAACACAGAATGCTGATATATAAATACATAACTTTTACATTAAGGTTTTACATATAGAAAGATGATTCATGAGCTTTTTAGTAAGCTACGTACTCAAAGCAAAATCTTCCTTCGTCAACGCTTATTTAATTTTTATATTTCCGAATCTCGATCCGTGTGACTCTGATAAGATGGAAAAAGTCCTATCTAGTGGATCGAAGGTAAAGGCATCACTGGACAAATATTTGTCTGATGTACCTTATCGTGTTCCAGCTTAATTGCCATATGTTATACTCTCATACTTTGTGGTACACCTTCTGTCTTAGGTAAAACGCGCGTACGTGCCTTTATAAAACGATATATTTTGATGAGATTTAGCGTTCTATTAATTCTAAGCACTCTGGATTTAAGCGTTAAATTAATCTTTATTCTTGAAATTAATCTCTTACGTCTCCTAGGTTTTAATTTTGAAATTACATTACTCGAAATAATTTTTACAGTAATGAAAAGGTGGTATGGTATGGTAGATGATATACATCAAACGTATATAATCTACGAATAACGAAATGATAGAATGCTATAGATAAATAAGAATAGTATAAAGATATTTAAATTTTGGTATTAAGACGTATTCAAATTCTAAATTTATTTTATTTTAGCACCGAACATAAAGAATACTTTGTTAAAATTCGTTCCTGGTTTAGCGAAGTACTTATCATAATCCATTACATTAACTTCTATCCTCAGAACTGGCGAGTCATTAATTGAAACATTTTCTATTTTCTATTAGGAACTTTTCAAATTACTCCTTCGAAATTAATAAAAACAATTTTTCTTCCACTGTTATGGACAGAAAAAGTAACGCTATTCAAGTCTGAATTACTAACAAGTAGATTAAATAAAGTACATATTTACAAATTTTTTAAAATTCTTTTTATCAACAAATTCTTCGTCCCTTGAATCATCGGACTCCTAAGAGGTAAGAGATACTTGATCTACAAACCACAAAAAGAATAGATCTTTTTCAATACAAAGTTCAACCCCCTAAAACCCAGTCTCATACAAAGCCAAACGATACCATTTACCTCGTCCACAATTGGAACGTAAAAATCATCGATCCGTAAGCTGAAGGTGGCTTGGTTGCCGCGTGAAACATAGAGAAATCCTAAGCGGGAAACGAGGGAATCGCTCGTACGAAAGCTGGTGGCGAAAAATTGTCGACGTAGCTGGAAAAGCGTAAAGGATAACCATATGGTGGAAACGAGGGAGAGAACGAAGTCGACGACGAGTTGAAGACAAACGGTAAGCGGAGGAAAGCACTCGAGCTGGAGTCGAGTGTCCCTTTTCGTGGTTCCTTTCAAGTTCTCTTCCGTGAGGCAAGCCGAGTCCTTCACTGCTTTTAAGCTCGTTCTCGTTGGAAGGCCGTCCGGGTGAGAAGCTGCTCGGATGCCAAGAGACACGTTCCGGTGCAATTCTGAGCGCCAGCTCGCGCTGGCTTACCGGATGTGCCAAGAACAGCCTGAGCTCCAGGGTTGAGGGGGTGGAAAAACGTCGAAAGGACTTAAGTTCGTGGAAGAACAGTGAACAAGCGACGGGCAAAACGGAAGAAGAAGCAAGGGAATAATGCAGCTAGCACGCCGTAAACATTCGGGGCCATAATATGAAAACATTGTCGGATGTAAGCCGGAAGGCACACAGTAATGTGCTGAGCTTAGCTAGCGAGCCTGGTGCCGGCTCTCGCTTCTGTCGGCGCACTGCCACGTCAGGACGTCAGGATTTCAGGCAGCTACACAGCTCTCGTTCGATTCGTGGGATTCGCCTAGCCCAAAAGCGCTCTCAGGCCAGCAGGGTTGGAAGGACAGGGTGCAAGGAGCGCGCCACGTGGAATTCCAAACGGCTCCAGCGTGCCATACGCCGCTGGTGAAACGCTGACGAATCTGACGCGCGCTTTTTGCCAAATTGTTCCTTAACTCGGCGACCGGTCCGCGGAAAATTCGGGGATAATCGAAGCGCCGCGTTGTTTGCGTCGCTCGCGACTCGGATTCACGTGCGTCCGTAAGTCGCGATCTAGCGCTTGTAATCGTCGCTCGGTGTATTCGATGATGGATTAAGCGCGCTCCCGAGACCAGTCGGTGTGTTTCAGTTCATGGATGAATTAGACGCAGAAGTTCATACTGGCTTTTATATGCTGGTGCTAGTTCTCCTTTCCTTTTTTGCTTTGATTTTTAATCGACTGAAACTAAAGTTGTAAATACGTTGTTTTCACTCATTGAATATTAATAGAATATAATTATAAAAGAATATAACAATAAATTTTTATTAGGAAGATAAGAATCGTAGGTTTGTCATAATAACTAGCACGTTTAAACATCGTAGCACAGACTATTTCAACGATTTTACTGCTTCGTTGAAGAAAATACAGCGTAAACGTTTCATGCGATAAATGTACTTTCCAAGTGTCGAATTTAGATTTCTTAATAACATGTACATGGAAAATACGATAAATCATTCCTACGCTTATAACTCTTTTCATCACATTCCTTATGGAATCTACATTTTCTCTAGCAAAGAAAATCTACTCTAACTGTTCGATTTTATCAGGTATAAAGGCTTCTCGAAGAAAACTAATCCACGTACGTCTTCGTCGACGGACCTTCGTAAAACGAGCTATTCACAACAGACACCAGCGGACATTAGTGATTTCCCCCTTATCGTATCTCGATCTGACGTTCACGAATAAAGGGGCTGGCTAGGAAACGCGTATAGGCCTCGACGATAGGTGTGTAAGTTATATCGGTGAGAGGCGGCGATAGTGAGGCAAGGGCGACTGTACCGTCGACAGTACAAATACCTAGAGCTACTTAGAGAAGAGGGAAATGGGACTAGCCATTTAGGGCAAACTACCCCCGAGTTGGCTCACGCGACTGATCTTATCGTTCGCCCAGTCGGTTCCCGGCTACGGAACGCATACACTCACGGTTATCTCGCTGCAGAATTGATTTCTTGCATTCGTTATTTCCCTGAGACCTCGCCTGGTGTCACACGCGCGATCTTTCTGCTGCCTGCGATGACTATACACGCAACAAAGTATCAATAGAAATGAGATATCAGATATGATATATTGCGTAATGCACGAAAAGTAAGGTAAAATCAAGTTAATTGGGTGCAATTAAAATTGGCGATATTACATCGATTATATCATGACGAATATCATGGCTCCTTTTTCCAGATATTATTTTACTTGACTGGTCTATTTTCTAAGATAGAATTGACATTCTGAGATCGGTCGGTGAACAGAGCATCATTTCATTGGCAATCGAGGAATTTTCTGAAATGGAGAACTATATATGGTAAATATGATCGAATGTAATGTTTTCTAATCAAACGATTAAATACTTTAGTAAAATTTTTATTTATTTTGCAAACGTAGAAAGTACAAAGTGTCATTATATCATTTTGTTAAATTTTTCTAGAAAGCTTTTCAACTTTTCTTCTTATTTGAACTTTTTATTTGAATTCTAAGAAATTATAGGGATGAGTTCTGTTACGTTGGTAAGTCCATTTACTTTTTACTATACTGTGAATTGAACGTAGAGAGAGATTGACTCGATTGTGTTTGGTTAATATGCCTGAAACACAGTACGTGCGATTCAGTCAATTTACTGTTGTGCCTAACAGGTGTCAATTGGATTTCATGAATAGTTATTTATTTTATACTGTGTTCTACTAATTAATTTCCTAAATTCGCGTAAAATTTAAGTAAATAGGTAAAAGATGAAAATTGACGAATTATATTTATGTCCTTTCTTATTCTATATAAAAAGATAATTTATTTTATTGAAGTGATTGAACATTGCTCGAC